ACTTACTGCCGATTTCGTTATACGAAGTAGCTGCAATTTTATTAATATAAACACTTTGAAAACGCGTTACTATAGGTTTGTTAGCTACCAAACAAGCAAACTAGAATATGTGATGTTTGTTTTTTGTCCCATGTTGACGTTTATGTGCAACCAACATTCAATGTAGATATTTGATACTGCTACAATATAAGACTCGTTGGTGTTGGTCCACCCGTGAAGTATCCTCAGTATAGTTTGCTTGACTTATTTTCTAATTCCTCACTGAACGTGAATATTTTTCACAAATTGTTCTTCATAAAATTGTGCACAATATCTTGATTGTCCACCCATCACATCCACGGAAAAATTCTTTCATGTCACCTCAAGAAGCGCTAGCAAACTTGTTTCAAAATTTCCCATAACATTTTTTATGTATAGCAAGTACTCTACAATAATAAGTACTGCAGTGACAATAGCATTATTAGTTGTAGCCTTAATAGTCTCGGATCATACTTTAAATATTTGTTTCAATATACAGGTTTTTTATTTTATTTTTTGTTTTATTCTAGTCTCTAATTTTCAACAGGGGTATGGTTCACAAAATAATCGCTTTTCAAATTTTTTTTTATTTACAATAAATATTTAATTCAACTTGTATGCGGTAAGTCTTTTAACATATTTTTTTTAGATACATTTTCTGATGTCATGGTTCCTCGCATCCGAGTCAGACTATAAGAAAGTGGAAACCATATAACCTTAATACTCAAGCTTCCAACGCTAAATCCATTTAACCAAATTCCATAAACATTTTACCCAGTGATATCCCAACCTAAAAAGCCCATGAACCCAAGCCCCAATAACCCTATAACCAAATAACCCCAACCCCATAACCAAGGGAATAAGTCATAGGCAATCTGTATTATTGCAAAACATCACATAGCTGAGGATTCCTTGAAAACCCTAGTACTCAAACCCAAAATGCATCCTATATATTGATCTAGTCATTTCACATGTCCGGTCTTTTGATCTAGTCATTCTAGTAATATAATTTTTCAGGTTATCTATTGTTATCCTTTGGATTTTCATTTCATTTAATCTAGTCAAGAGAGATTCTTAACATTAATCATTCATTTATTTATTTTAGTTTTATTGATTAATTTATAGTACGGTCTATCCTACAAAATATTTTTTTTTTTCAAATATGATCACGCAACTACCTCGTGTTGTACATCGTGTAATGCTAATGCTGACGGTCCAATTAAAGTTATAAAAAAGACTAGATCGACTGTAACCCTCGTTTCTTTGGTGAATGGGATAAAGTACAAGATAATGAAATTGTGGTTAGGGAATTGTGGGGTTATGAATTGTAGGGTTATGGGGGTTTTGGGGTTTGAGTGCATATGTTTTTAAGAAATTCTCTACCACGGCAACGTTTCGACATAACATAGATTGCCTATGATTTATTAGTTATGGGGTTATGGGGTTATGAAGTTACGGGGTTATGGGGTTATAGGGTTAAGGGAATTTTTTGGTTTTGAGTACTTAGGTTTTCAAGGAGTCCTCAGTTATATGATTTTTGTAATAATACAGATTGCGTATTCCCTTGGTTATGGGGTTATAGGGTTATTGAGGTTTAGGTTCATGGGCTTTTTAGGTTAGAATATCGTTGGGTTAAACGTTTATGGAATTTGGTTAATGGATTTAGCGTTGGAAGCTTGAGTCTTAAGTTTATATGGTTTAATTGTTCAGAATATCGGTATTTTTGAAGTTATGAAAAATCCTGGGGTGATGGAATGGACCTCGGATTCGGATTCAGCGACCCAAAAGACGTATAATAAACATGGTCTGACCTCTGGACCCGAAAGTCGATTTTTGTGTCACTATGTAATCAACTATTTGCGGAATTTTAGTCTATAACCTAAGGAACTAAAACTTATGAGCTAAACTTTTGACATAACTAAAATCAAGAAAACGGAAATTACCGTTTTATTTTATGAAATGAGATGTCTACTACTATTCTATTTATCTATATCAAAATGTTTTATAATGTACAAAAAATATAGGGTAACAACTTTTAGATCCAATTTCACACTTAAAATTACTATGACGAGAGAAATCATTTATGAATATCATTAATCGAAAAAATCTTTAATTGCATATTTATGAATATTTGACTCCTTGATATAAATAAAGAGTTGTAGTATAACAACCCTAGGTTCGATCGAAAAAAATATAAACGTAGTTGTGGCCAAAAATATGTGATCGTCATAAGGAATACCTACGTTGTATGTATTTATTTTTTTAATGACCGGAAGGCGCTGGCTACTAACTTTGTGGAGGGGATGTATGGTTTAATTATACAAAAACAAAAGCAGTAAATACACCTAACTTTTATTTACATACTTATACATATCTTCAAATTAAACATGTGACAAATATAAAGAACAACAAAAACATCAACAACCATTTAACATAAAATGAGAGTGCCAGGCTCACCTAGAGCTCCCGTGGGGAAAGAGCATGGCAGAGATACCCACGATCGTTGCTCTTACCACCCAAATATAAATACAAAACAACCGCTAACCAAAGGCATACATTAAGAACCTTTGCTAATGATAAATAAGACCTGTTTCATTTAATGTGTCACTAAATGTCATCTGTTACCTCATATTAGTCATACACACTTCCAAGTAAAACTGAAGAGGTTTGGGGTTAGTTAGCCGGCAGAGCCGGAAGGTACTGGAGTCCCATACGGGAGGCAATCCAGCTATAGTTGAGATTTCGGAAGATCCTTCATAACACTGGAGTCCCATACGGGAGGCAATCGAGCTTAATCCAGATTCGTTCCGCACGGGCGAAAATGTTAGTAAACTCAACAAGGCTCGTATAGACGTATGACATAAAGTGAGCACAAGAAATCAAAGAACAAATGATAAAACAAGTTAAGTGTGAAACAAAGAGGTCGTTAATGTAATATCTGGGCAGTCACGACAATATACATATTTTAACATGTAATAAATAATGAGCAATCTATAATAATAATTGTAACAATTTTATCTTAGAGAAATATACGCCCCTGAGCGTAAGACAATGAAGGCTAAACATATACAGAATTACTATCATGAAACATCTATAACCATCACAATCACAAAATTACATAGAACAAATAACAACAAAGTACTTAAAGAATATTACCTGCTAACAAATACCGGTTAAACACTTAATTTTCCACTTCTATATTTTTCACACTACACTGATCGTCTTGCTTTTCACTCCGCGCTGTTCTCACTTCAACTGCCTATCTTCAACTAACTATTTAGGCTTCCTTCCAGAATTTCCCAAGTGCTTGTTTTTTGTGCTTCCTTCTATCGACCGTTAATATTACTTTTTCATTGTTATACAACACCCATGTAGCAGGTGACGTGGAAGTTGATAAGATAAGTACGGTTTTGCACAAATTATTGTGAAAATTTCGCGTATCAGGTTTGGTGACAGAAATGCACTTCCTAGTACAGCAATTGTGAATTTAGTGGCTAACGTATAAGGTAAACTGCTGATGTTAACTCGTGCGCGATCAATCAGATCAAACGAAGACGCATTGCTGTCGTGTCTGTAAGTGTCACGGAAAATCCTGGTTTGCCTATTTCAAGACGTTCACAACAATGCACCCTTACAAAGTCCAACTAACCCAAGATTTGAAGCAGACGAACCAAGCACAATGCCGTACGTTTGATGAAGGTATGTTAAAGATGCAAGAGGTTGACGCTGATGTTTTCATGAAGATCATTATTAGCGATGAGGCCAATTTCCAGTTACAAATGTACATCAAAAAGCGAAATTGCAGCATCTAGGGCTCCAAAAACCCAAAAGTGATTCTCAGACAACTTCTCCATCCACAACGAATTACTGTTTTTGCGGTTTCTGGAGTCGCGGCGGTATAGGCCCGTATTTCTTCGACAACGAAGCCCGTGTTACCACTACAGTCAATGAGAACCTGGAAGGTTAAAGCAGCCTTATAATTCCCCACATATTCTTCTGCAAACAAATTTTCCATGTGCAAGGTAGTTAAAACACCTACAATATGGTTAGCTAAACTTTCCACTTTAACGTAGTGGAAAACCACTCTCTAATTGTTCCATGGAAAAAAGCCAAAATGGCTAAGCCCTATTAAGACAGTCCAAGCGACCGTACACTGTCCCAAATGTTTTGCAAACAAATGTTCGCGGGCAAAGTTACAACTACAACATGACCAGCTGGCGTTTCCATTGAAGGTGGTTAGTTAGAATTTGCATTTTAAACAGTCTAAAAACCATGCTCTACATGTACCATTGTATACGCGCTAGTAAAATCAAGTTGAAAACGACTAAGAGAAAAATTTTAATGAAATAACATCTTATCTTGTGAAATAATATAATATTTCCCCTCCATGTGATGCATATCGGATTCTTGAAAATTCTTTTCTTATTCAAAAAAACACTACACAAGAGACAAGGAGACACAAAAACAGACAAGACTTGCACGTGCGGCGCAGATAAATGAACTAGCCGGCTATCGATAAGAAGTAACGAATTGTTACGAAATACTTTTTTCTTTAAACCTGTGCGCGCGTCATACATAAGTAGTACCTACCCTACATAAATCATAGAAGAACGGAGATACGAAAAATAATTTATACACATTGTTGATTAATTAAGTAAAGCTGCATTTGAATCATTAATTACATACCTATTTATAAAAATTCAGGACCTTGAGATAATTCTTTAAATTATTAAACGTTCCTGATTACAACTAATGCTCCCTCAAATTTTTATACTACCTATTTACTTTCTTATACAAATTTATAATCATAAAGATACACAACAGTTAAAAGGCTGTTTTTATCTTCTATATGCCATTCATTAAGTTACTTTCGATACGCAACATTCAAAAGAATCATTATCATCTGAGAACTATTACTTAGATTTAGACAGTACAGTATTACGTTGTGGGTCTGTGGTGAAGTGAGTTTGTGGTGACCCAAAATGAACGCTGGTTTTCAACTTGAACATGAAAATCCTAAACAGAATGCAAACTGCATTTCTAAATTATTTTTCGCGTAAGTACTTCTAGTTTCTTCCTACGTTGATACTAAATCCTTTCTCGAATCGATATTGAATTAATTTTTCAGTAATGCCTCAATATGATTTTTTACAGAGGAAAATATATTTTGTTTTAGTCTTAGGTTAATATGAGCATGAGCAAGCGCGAACAATGTATTTTTTAAACTCTTGTCAATAGTAACGGTAATCGCTGGTCTAAAACCTCATAAAGGAGATTATTACTTATAATCTTAGTAAAGAATAAAAAGTGTACATAATACCAACACTTTTAACAATTTAAGATTGGTATCATTTCTTAGGTCTCCAACAATGTTTTTATTAAAAATTCTCGAAAATGAACACACATTAAAATTCTTTTTACAGCGAAAAAATTAATGAAAAAAATCATAGTAGGTAATTGCAAGCAAAACCATTTTACTATTAAAAAGATACATCTATAGATATACATATTCGCCTTAACATTCAAATTAGAAACAGTGTCTTATTTTTTACTAAAATTTCATTAGGAGTTAATTAATTTATTTCTAGTTTGGTTTAATATCACAGAGTTCGTTATAAAATATGTTTATTTTGTTGATGTAAATATTTCAAGCGACTATAAATAGTTCCAGTCACAATAAGATAGGTACTGGCAAATAGCCTCATTTATTTCAACAATAATTTATTTTTAACACCATGAAACTTTTATATACAGTTTTTTTTCTGATTCTATAAGACCTATTTACAATTTACAATTATCACTTTGTAAAATGTATCCATAAACGAACGTATTATCTAAGTAATTATTAATTTTACCTACGACCACTACTGTAAATACTTAAAAACACACCGTCTGCGATCAATGTAATATTCCTATTACGTATGGTAAAAAAATCGCACAGTTTTCCTAGCAACCGCCTAGCAACGATCAATACAATACTGTTTGTATTGAACGTTGCTAGGCGGTTGCTAGGAAAACTGTACGATTTTTTACCAAGCTGTGCGATTTTTTTACCGTACGTAAGATAGGAATCTTACATTGATCGCAGACGGTGTGTTTTTAAGTATTTACAGTAGTGGTCGTAGGTAAAGTAGTACGTAATACGTGGTGTAATGCAATTACGCACTCATCGAATTACGCACTCGCCGCTATGCGGCGTCGTGCATAACTTTTCCATTCGTGCGTAAAATGCATTTTACAACACTTATTACGTAATATACTATTACAGTCGATGGACTTTAATAAAGATATGTTGAGGTTAATCATGTACACAAATATGTATTTATTAAAGGCTATACGAGGCTACTTATTTCAATCCCGAGAATCTAATGTAACGAAATAATAACTATACATTATGTATTTTGAAATCGAATTGATTTTTCGGCATTATTAGGTACAGATTGTTATAAGATTGTTAATGATATTTTTTTCTCCGCAAAATCACTAAACTCTCTATTTCGTATTTTTATTGTTGATGTAAGAAAACACCAATATAGCAAAATTTAATTTTATACAGGGTGTTCCACCTAAGAGGGATTCTTCTGTAACTCTGTAACTGTACAATTTAGAAAATAATGGTTTTCATAACAGTTGCCTGGAATTATGTGGGCCATGTAAAGAAAATATTTTAACTTTACAGGGTGTTCCATTTCGCGTGAGCGCTACATAACTTTGTTATTCTAAATGGAACACCCTGGATATTATTGCATTTTTTAATTCTTTGGTTAATATTAGGTAGAGTTTATTAAATGTACATGGTGTCCAAAACTTACCGTTTTTGAGATCAGTAAAGTTGTTTTTGAAAGAAATCACAATTTCAGCTCTCTAAATGAGTCTAAACCGTAAGAATTAGAAACCTGCAGTTTTCACAATTCGTTTTGGCATAAATTACTCTATCTTGTCATCTGTGAGCAAATCGTGTACGTTATTCAGAATCGGAAATACTGAGACCTATATTTACTAATCTTACTAGTTGAAAAACTTTTTTTTTAATGGACTGATCCCTATTAATTGTCATGGCTGAATGTAAAATTGAATGCCCTTTCGACTGATATAAGGTTGTCCATACTTATCTCTAACAGTTTTCTAGAAAAAATTAGGTTCTTTTCTAAAGTCCGAATAAATAGATATGTAACAGTGTCAAGAAGGCCTTGCAATTGTATTAGTACAACGTCGATACATAGAATTTTACAAAAACATAGAATAGCACATCCTTATCGCATGAAATTAATGCCAAGAGTTACTAAAGACTTTGAAAGTAGACTTTCAGCGGAGACTGGAGTTTTGTCAGTGGGCACTTGAGATGTTAAATCAAGATAATGATTTAAACGGATCATGTTTTCCGATGAGGCTACTTTTCATAAAAATAGTTTCGTTAATAGTCATAATTGCCATTATTATGACACAGTAAATCCTCACCAATTCCGGACAACTCATAGCTAACGATGGTCTTTGAATGTGTGGAGAACAGTTTTGGGAATCCAAGTCATTGGACCATTCTTTTTTGACCAGCATCTAACTGGAGCAATTTATTTAAACTTTTTAACAAACACTAGAAGATTTTTTAGTTGACATACCTTTAGATACACTTCGAAGAATGTGGATGCAACATGATGGTGCTCCACACAATACCGCTGTGGTTCGTCAGTTTTTACACGAAACTTTTCCGAATAGATGGATTGGGCGCGGGGGACCAATGAGTTGGCCTTCAAGATGTCCAGACTTCTTTTTATAAAAAGCAAAGTTTACGTTACACCACCAACTACCGCGGAAGATATGTGGCAGCGCATTACAGTAGCATTTCAAGAAATTACGCGAGACGTGCTGACCAATTTTGAACCGAATTAATTTGTGTATTAGTCAAAATGGAGGATACTTCGAGCAATTGATGTAAGTCAGCGATCTAAGTATTCTTCTCCTTGTTGTGGTCCGAATTTCAGTTTGTTTCGTTTTGCGCTTTTTAAACATGCCAGTAAAAATTGACACTGTCAGTCCCAGGCCTTATAAAATGTGAGATAAAAGTGATTTTGCAAGGCCTTCTAGATGCTGTTACATAGCTACTGTTTCGGACTTTAGAAAGAACCTAATTTGTTCTGGAAAACTGTTAAATATAAGTATGAACAACCTTATATCAGTCGAAAGGGCATTCAATTTTGCATTCACCCATAACAATTAACATGGGTCATTCCATTTAAAAAAAAAAAAGTTTTTCAGGATTATTAAATGTAGGTCTCAGTATTTCCTAGTCTGAATAACGTATACGTTTTTCTGACAGATGAGAAGATAGAATAATTTATGCCAAAACGAACTGTGAAAACTGCAAGTTTCTAACTTTTATGGTTTAGACGCTATCTAGCCTCATTTAGAGAGCTGAAATCGTGACTTTTTTCAAAAACAACTGATTATCTCGAACACAGTAAGGTTTAAACACCATGTACATTTAATAAACTCTACCTAGTATTAATCAAGGAATTCAAAAGTGCAATAATATACAGGGTGTTCCATTTAAAATAACAAAGTTATGCAGCGCCCACGCGAAATGGAACACCTTGTAAAGACAAAAATATTTTCTTTACATGATCCACATGATTCCAGACAACTTTTATTAAAACCAATGTTTTATAAATTTTACAGCTGCAGAGTTACAGAAGAATCCCTTTTAGGTGGAACACCCTGTATAGTAAGTATTATAAAACTATCACTTTTATCCAGGGGATTTGCCACAACACTCACAATCTTTTTTATGACTCTTATCGGGCGTCACGTTTGAAAATTTTGCCATACTCACATCTCTAATTAGATGTAAGACAACATTGTCATTCTACGATAGTAAAAATCTCGTAATAGCAGTTTATGGAGGGAATAAACGTGTGCTTTATAATAAATTCGAACAAAGATTAATAATCTTTTCTGTTCACTAATTCAAATGAATTTTCTTTAACTTATAAAAAGACTTGTAAATTAAATCTATATTACAAGTACATGAGCCTTAACCAAGGATTATAAAATCAATGATTTTCAAGATATAGTTTGTAGAAGTTTAAAAAAAAAATATGACATGACATTTATAAAATATTAAAAGATACTTGACGTAGATTAATGAATCTAGCTAATCGTTCAATTAAAAGTAAAATTACTACACAAATATGTCAACCAATGATGGAGATACTGGAAGACACTGTCAATAAAAACCTTATTTGGACATCACTGATTATTTCGAATATGTAGATTTCCAGTTATTACTTTTTATATTTAAAATTTTAAAATACCTAAACTTATCACGTTGTTGAATAAATATCAAAAAAATTAAGTGTTTTTAATTCCTAATATTATTTTAAAGAAAAATGTATTTTTCGCTTTATTCCAGAGGTCTATTTTCGTAACATTATTTTAAAAAGTTTGAAATAAGATTATCACAGAGGTGAATGAATTTAAAATATCTTTAAAGGCATTCGTTGTACAAAAAAATATAAGAGAATGTTTGAACACCACAATTTTAAATACAATGTAACCATCAAAAGAACCAAAAACTGAATTCAGTAGAATTTAAAAAGACAGTTGCTTGATTGTGAATAAAATTAATATAGTATTTTCTCTTAAAAATAACAAAATGAATTAAATGTACTTATCTAATTTTTAAAATACTCAGTGGCGTAAATATTATGTATCTTTGTGATCGTGTCACCCAATACCTCTGCCACTGGTTGATAGATTTTTATATTAGTTTAGCCAGTATTTGGCTTGAATTAGATAAATTATTAACTCTTGTTTATCAATCTAGGTTAGATATCTTGAGAAATATTTAAATAAATATGAAATTTTCTAAACTTCAAAACCAGTTCGAAACCAGTGATTCCCGATCCGCAGCTCATTGAGGTTCTTTAGTCTAAAATGATTCAAGGAACAGCTATCCAAAATTATAACATGCACTTTGAAAATGCGCCGTATAAGGTATCATTTTTTTTCGCTTACTAAATAGACTATTATCTAAATGTATGACAAAAAGTTTCTTGAAGATGCAAATAAATTTTGATGAAAAACACAACCCAGAACAGATGAAAACCTAGCTAATAATACTAATAAAAAACCATTTTGTATCTATTTTTGCGAAATTGGATAGGTATATAAAAAATACGAAGCAATCAGGGTATAAACTCCAAGACAAAATTAAGGCATCAGCAAAACTTATTTTTTCTTCTTTCTTCTAATTTTTCGACAAGTAGTAGTACCCGCTTGGTACTATAATTAAATGATTTTAACTAATGTTTAATAAATAGTAAAAAAACTAAACTGAAATTAATTTATAAGAATTTGGATGTAGATACTAGTGATTAAGTGGTGAATATTCTCCGGTTCAACGAGAACGATTTGTTCGAGTTCCCTGATTCGTAGGGACAGGTATGTAGCGCCTAACTGATCATCTTAGAACATCCCAAAGATGTTCTATGGAGTTCATAGTCGGTTTTCTTGGTGGCCAGTTCATAGATGGAATTTCACAAATCAAAAATAATCCAGTACCTCTCTAGCAAAGTGGAGTCGAGCGTTATCCTGCATAATAATCATCTTAGTGTATCCCAAAGATGTTCTATGGAGTTCATATGCGGTTTTCTTGGTGGCCAGTACATAGATGGAATTTCACAAATCAAAAATAATCCAGTACCTCTCTAGCAAAGTGGATCCGAGCATTATCCTGCATAATAATGGAATTGTCCCCGATGAGGTAAAGGGTACCACATGTTCTTCTACAGTGTTTCCTAAGTAGAAATGTGCATTCTTGGATCTCTCCCCTGTATAGGAACCAAATCCGTATGACCATCGAATCTAATTCCTCTCCAAAAATTATTGATCCACCATAAAAAAATGTGATCCGTGGAAAGATTTTGCAAGTAGCAAAACTTTCCTGGCCTCCGCCAGACTCATTGACGTCCATCTGGTAAATTAAAACTTACTCTTGTTTCGTCTGAAAACAAAACACGCTTCCGATCGTCAGTGGTCCAATTTACGTGTTCCTTTGCAAAACGCAGTCTATCAAAGTTCTCTTGTCAGCAATGTGCAATATCTGATCTTCTTACTAGCTAATCTTCCTTCATTAAGCGTTCTCCCGACCGTTCCTCCAGAAATTGATACAATGCGATCTGTTGTTAGGGCTCTGCTTAGCTCTAAACTGGTAAAACGCATGTTTTTGAAGACGACATGCATAAGATGTCGCTCATTTCTTGCGTCTGTAGACTTCTTGCGACCTGAAGTTTTAAAGTAACTTCTAAGTTCATTGAAACGTTTAACTGTTCGACTAATTGTTGATTGTCTAACTCCTGAAAAATTAGCCACGTAACGCTAGCTGCGCCCCCCTAACTTCATCTGCGCTTCAGGTGCGTCAACGATGCATATCTTCTACTAAGTATATTGACGGAATGTTAAATTCACTTAATGGCATTAAATTTTAAAAAATCACTAGCGTAAATGAATTTATTGCCATTCACAAATTGATTTAAATGTCTTATTATCAATTGGAAAATGTTATTTAACATCTGCCAAACAATTGCAATTTTTTTATCCATAGTGACAAGAGATATCTTAGGGTTTAATGATTTAAATGCTGATACCTTCATTCTATCCAGGGGTGTATAATATGTAGATATATTGTATAATTAACTCTAAATCTTGTTTGTTTATAGCTGGATGATAAAGCTATTTTATAAAGGAACTCAGAAAGGATTGGAGGTCGTGGATTTATATAAAGCGTTAGACTGCGACAAGTCATCTTACGTAGGGGACAAACTAGAAAAAAATTGGGACGATGAAGTAAAGAAAGCCAAATTAAAAGGTTCTAAGCCCAGCTTGATGAGGGCATTGATCAAAACATTTATCTGGAAATACATGTTATGTGGATTGTTGCAGTTCATACAAATGGTTGTCTTAAGGTGAGTTGTTGTTGACCAGAAATAAGGGATTGAACCAAAGATGTATTATTTTTTCTTTCCATTATAAGACTTAAGACGATATCAGCGCATGCGTAACTTGAACCTTCTGAATACACCCACAGGCTTAGATTAAATTTTGTATTATTTTTATTCTTAGATACCCTTTTGATAAAGTTTATTTGTTAAAACAAATTGGGCTCAGTTATCAGTATAACATCACTAAAATTGTTAATTGTATTTACTATGTAAGCAATCGTTTTAAACAGTCATTTATACAAACATGTAAAGTCACGGTTCTGGTATATCCATCATACAATGTACTATCGTAATTATCGTTATGAAGCTAATATTTACTTAGATAATAATTGCTTATTGTTTTATAGATCAGTGCAACCGGTTATTTTGGCGTATTATATCAGCTTGTATGCGATATCTGAAGACAGGGCAGATAAAACAGATCAAATGTATATTTCTGGAGCGGGTATAGTGGCGATTTCAATTTTGGTGTGTTTTTTAATGCACCATACAAATTTTGCAATATCGGCAATTGGAATGAGAATTAGAATAGCCGCCTCTTCTCTAATTTATAGAAAGGTAAAATCAATTTATATTATAAAAGGTATAGGTTACGTACGGTATGTTCCACGATTGTGTCCCGAAGAGGAAACATTTTTTTATTTTTAAATTTTCAATAAAATATCAGTTAACAGTTATTAGGAATTTTAATATGAAATTTTATATTGTTTTTCTTTAAATAAATACCTTATTTCACATTAGTTAGATTGCTTAAACGCAATTACGATTCTTAGTCCAGGAAAATCAGCAATTAATTGACCTCGACAAAATTCCCTCCAAGGTAAATTTTTGTACAGACGTTCTTCGAGGTGTTCCAAATCCAAATCCACAAAAATCATATGACTACCCAAGATATTGAAAATCAAAGTTTTTTGCAAATATCTCGCATTCTACGCATGGGACATCCATGAAAGTTCCTCGACCTTTTCGAGACATTCAAGGTTAAAATTTCAAAAACAAGGTTTTTCGTGAATATCTCGCTCTCAATGCATTGGACGTCATGGAATAGGAAAGAATATCGTGTATAAGATCTCCTGATTTTTTTCCACAACTTCTTCCTTCTTGAAATGCGAGGTTGATGATTTCTCGTCTAATGCAAGAACTCGGGCTGCATTATATTATCCAGTCGAAAAATTAAACAAGAACAGCAGCTCAGCAGCATATATTCAGAGCTTTGTAGCAAATTCAAATTCGGTTGGGGAACAAACCTGAACCTCATAAATGGGGCTGGGTTTCCAACAACAGTATCCTTGAGGCAGTTCCCACAGCATTCCCACCTTGTGCTTGTTTTTGAAATTTTTGACCTGAAAAGGGCGAGGTTTTGGAAAAATTTGCAAGAGATCAATCATGTATACAATTAAATTCTCTACACAATTCTATATTTATAAAAAACTTTGACCTTCAAATATTGGATAGAAATATTGTGATTTTTGTGATTTTTGCGGATTTGCATGTGGGTGTGGGACACCCCAAAGAACATCTTTGTAAAAATTTAGCATGGAAGGAATTTTGTCGAGATTTCCTCCTTTTTTCGTCTAATTTCCTTGGACTAACTGCTGACTAAGATAGAAACCGATTAACATATGGTAATTAATAAAAATCAATTATTTTTCGAGTTGGGATTATTGTTTTATTTCATTTTCTTGATTCATTATGAAATAGCGTATGTACAAATAATTATTTTTATTTTGAAATCCTACTTATTATTACAACACTAGAAATAGTATTTTTCTACAGAGTGTTCCATTATAGAAAACCATTCTTATTTTTGGCATTGAAAAACCGAAAAGGAATCCAAAATTTAGAATCACCTCTCAATATATTCATGATTATTATCATGATCATCATTATGATAATAACAGAATCAGAAACAATGCAGCAAAATTTTGTGACTTTTTAGAAGTCCCAATTAAATCTGGAATAATTAGCAGAATTAAGTATCGATTATTTTACTAATACCAAATGATATTGATTTATTTTTTTACAAAACCATGATATCTTCACATTCACATCCCACTTAGAATTTTTAAGAATATACAAGATACTTTTTGATATTTCAATGACTCTGGTGTTTTGCTGTAGGTCAATTTTAAATTCTTGCTAATCAAGATCTTTAAACAATCAAGAAGATATCTGATAGTTTAAAAGCAAGTAGGTATGCCTATACCCATAAAAATAAAATATATTCAAAAATTTATTACTGCAAAATATATCATTTACTATAAAAACCCCACCTTTTAGTATACAGAGAGTAAGAGCCACACAGCGGCAACTTTCAAAGCTAATTCATTTTGTCAAAATAAGCAAAACATGAAACTAGTACTTTTTTCTCTTAAAAGGGTTCCTCTTGAATGAAGAGTATGGAGAACGCAGCCTGTTTCTAACACCATCTTTAGCATATAAAAATGTGTAGCATTGACAGAGACAGGCTGCGAACACTTCAATCATTCTGGATCTCTCGGTAGATTATACAATGCACAATTAAAAGAACAAAAACCAGCCAAATTAAAAAGCGGCTGTTTAATTTTTGTTAGTTAATAAAGATCTGTTGCTTTTTTATTATTTTAACAAGAGAAATTAGCTCTGAAAGTTTGTCACAACGTTAATGTTATGCCATGTTTTACAACAAATAACACTGCTACTTCTAGATCACGAGATTAAACCAACAATCATTGGGTAAAACTGCGACAGGACAAGTCGTTAATTTATTATCAAATGATGTAAATCGCTTCGATTTAGTAATTCTATTTTTACACTATGTGTGGATTATGCCTTTCCAAGTGGCATTAATAACATATTTCATTTGGCGAGAAGTTGGAATCTCTTCATTAGCTGGTGTTGTGTCCATGGCTCTGTTCACTTTACCAGTACAAGGTAAATATTACATATTTTAAACGTTTATATATTATTAATCTAGTTTATTATGACATCGTAGTTAATTAAAGTGGTCAAAATTGATAATCAATTGTCTGTCGTTTTAGGATATCTTGGAAAACTGACGGGAAAATTAAGACTGAAGGTGGCAAATAAAACTGATACCAGAGTAAAGTTAATGAGTGAAATTATATCTGGAATACAAGTAATAAAAATGTATGCGTGGGAAAAACCATTCGAACAAGTCATAAAATTGGCTAGAGGAACTGAAATTAATTCCCTTACGAAAACTTCCTACCTAAGAGCAATTTTTTCTAGTTGCAACGTATTTATAGAAAGAACCACATTGTTCTTAACCGTCATATGTTTTGTTTTATTAGGAAACATCATATCAGCTGACAAAGTGTTCTCTATGGCACAATTTTTCAACATTCTTCAGCTGGCTATGGCTATCATATATCCCATGGCTATCAGCTACGGAGCAGAAGCTTGGGTTTCTGTTAAAAGACTGCAAGAATTTCTAATTCTCGATGAGAAACAACAAGCAAACATTGAAAGTCACAATGAGAAGGAAATTCAAATTACTAACGTATCCGCATCTTGGGTCCCTAACGTACCTGTTTTGAAAAATATAGACATACATATTCCTCCAAACACCCTTTGTGCAATCGTAGGACCTGTAGGTGCCGGAAAATCATCAATACTGCAGGTAGGTACGTCAAACCTGTACATTTTATACAGACAATTATTAGGGAAAGTGATATACATTCACTGAGCTTTTATTTGTAGCTGTATATGACTGTAAATGTGGCAGAGAAACTAGACAACCATCTATACAATTACAACAAGCTAGAACACATTTAATGCGTTGTCATCTACGAACTATTGAGATATTTTAGATTACTCTCTATTCTGTGAAATTTCAATGTGGTCTTAAAGAATTTTGATTTATTTCTTTACTGACAAAACAATGCTATTTTGTTAATATAGTAATTTTCTTTACAGCTCATTCTGGGTGAACTGCCACAAACATCGGGAAGAATCTATCTTGGAGGAAAAATTTCATATTCATCGCAAGAACCTTGGCTATTCGGATCCACTGTCCGGAACAATATACTATTCGGACAACCTTACAACAAATTCCTTTACCAAAAAATCGTCCATGTATGCGCACTGCAGAAAGATTTTGAACAGTTTCCTGAGGGAGACAAAACTGTTGTGGGGGAAAGAGGAGTATCCCTTAGTGGCGGACAAAGGGCTAGAATCAACCTCGCCAGGGCAGTTTACCGTCAAGCTGATATTTATATAATGGACGATCCGTTATCGGCAGTGGATACGCATGTTGGGAGACATCTTTTCAATGAATGTATAGTCAATTATTTGAAAGACAAAACACGAATTCTTGTTACGCATCAACTACAGTATTTGAAGAAAGCAGATCTCATAATTGTTATTAATGAAGTAAGTGCAAGGGTTATATCTAGGTGTTATTCCAGTTTCACTTATTTCTCCAAAATTGTTTATTTCAGTTATATTTATTTTGAGACTTTAAGAACAATATATTGTTCCAAAGAAAATGTTTTCTTCAACGGAATTATAAATAACCATATTTTATTTATTTATGTCATGGTGTTCCGAAAACAACTGCAAAAAATTTACTCATAAAATATAATGTTGCACAAAACTTTCTCGAAAACTCATTATTAATGGGGTTATCTCTTAAGTTTAATATTTTGCTATAACTTTTCTTTCTTCAAACTGGCTTATATTTTATGAAAGAAAAAGTTTATATCTTTAATTTTTGCCAAGTTACATGTATGTATTTGAAAATTTTTTACCCAAAATATTCAAATCTAAAATACTCATAACTTCTTGAGGGGTTGAAATAAAATTTTCAAATAAATCATGAAAGCTGCTCTAAATCGGTACTAAATAATACCAAAAAATCAGGAAAATTAAAAATGGTCGGGTCACGACCTCAGTGATTTGGCATGGAATGGCCCATATACAGGGTTTTCAAAAAGTTTGGAACCCCCCCTCTATCTCAGAAAATATTGCTCTGACAAAAAAATGATTAGAACAAAAGTTGCAGGGTTTTGAGTGAGCAATCCAACGGCGACCTTGACCAAGACCTTGATCATGACCTTGAAGGTCATTTAGAGGTCAAGTTGAAGATTTTATATGGAATCGTATACTTTTGATCCCGGAAATGAAAAGAGCGAGAAATATCGGGTCAAAATCGATTTGATCTGTGAACGACCTTGAAGGTTTTGGTCAAGGTCATATCCGAATGTAAAAATTTCCACTTTTTCCATTTCCGGGGTCAAAAATATACGGTTTCATTTAAAATTTTCAGGATGATGACCTCTAAATTACCTTGAAGGTCATGGTCAAGGTCACATTCGAACGTAAAATTTTCCGCTCTTACCATTTCCGGGGTCTAAAGTATATGGTTCCATTTAAAATTTCCAATTTGACCTCTAAATGACCTTCAAGGTCATGGTCAAGGTCATTGTTGGATTGCTCACTTAAAACCCTGCAACTTTTGTCCTAATCATTTTTTTGTTTGAGCAGTATTTTCTGAGATAGAGGGGGGGTTCCACACTTTTTGAAAACCCTGTATATGAAAATTGTAGAACCCTAAAGATCATAAGATATCCTACAAAAACTTACTTTTGTTCCAAATCGAGCTAAAATGAACTTAATGTTTTGGCTCGAACAGTTAAATCGAACAGATCGAACAGTCGAACAGTTAAATATATAAATAAAATTGCAATATAAATGCAGTAAAAGCTGTCAAATCATCTTTAATAGCACTGGCACTGATTAATTTCATTAGGAAATTGAACAATAATCCTAATTTACCGGGATTTAAACGCAAAATATGGCCGACAAATATTTTTTTATAATATTCCTTAAGTATCAAGTTTTTTAATTCTTTGGAAAACTGCATAAAAAAATTATTATCAATTTGCTGGTCCTTAAAGGTCATTTAAAACATTAAAGGCTTAATTTTAAATATTTTTCTTCATTGATGCCGTTACCAAAGTGTTCCACATGTGAAAAAAAAAGTGTTTAAAGTGAAAAAAAAGTTATAGCAAGTATTAATCAAGAAAATAATATTTTGGAGTTTTGTGACTTCACTAATATTTAGTTTTGTACACTTATTTCTGAAGTACCTTATAGGTATAAAAATAAGGGAGCAGATAACATGCATATCAATTAACTGAACTTGGTACTATGGTAAAAATTTAAACAATCTGAATCATAACTCATACAATGCTTTATCATTCAGGGTAAAATAGAAGCCCAAGGAACATTCGACGAGCTTTCGAACAGTAAAATGGATTTCACAAAACTGTTGGCAGTTGCTGATGAAACTACGGAAAAAACAGTTGAGAAGCATCTAGACGAGCACATTATCGGATTGATAGATCCACGCAGAACATCTGTACTGTCCATTGCCAATGTAAGTCAATGAAGTCATAAATCTGTAATATTCACCGAGTGATATCGAAATAAATAATACTTTCAGAGTTATTTCAAACAAACAAATATTTCTAAAACAATTCCAAAATTTTTCTTTGTATATGGAATACAGTTTCCTTGTAGTAATTACGAAAGTGTCAAATTTGGAGAAGAATTAGAAGGGATCTGAGGGGTTTCAGATATATTTAATGTTAAAGAAAATCTGCTTTTACAGAATAGAATAGACCCTTCACAAGTAAATTATATGGGTTGAGTTATTTTTAATGATGATATGATGAAGTTAGGCGCATTATTAGCAGTAGAGCAAAATTTTGTTCAAATTGCTCTGATGCTTCTAATTCTTGAGAAACCAAAATCTGTTTCATGTTCAATTTTTGAAGGATTATACAGATCTTAGAATTCGTAAATCAACAACTGTATTTGCGCACATGTAAAAAAAATTGGTTTTTTTTGGAAACTTTTTTATTTCATTTCTAGAGTACTCTCTCAGAAACTATAGAAATAGCCCAAGCCGTGGAAAATGAGGAAGAAAGTGGGGGAAATAGTGGAATTTCACCGTTTAAGGAGTATTTCAAAGCAGCTGGAAACATATGCCTCATCATAATTCTGTTAACTTGCATAATTCTCTCACAGGCTGCTTGTACCGGAGCAGATTTTTGGGTGGCATTTTGGTAAGAAGGCTGTTACTTTATCTGACATAATGTTTATGTTTTCTTTTTACGTGTAGGACTGGGCAAGAAGAAATCAGACATTCGAATAATTCTATATTATTAAGGAATTCGTTACAGCAACCAATACTAGAAACTATAGAAGTGTACGACACAGCCAGTTCAGGAGCAGATTCATCCTATTATACATACACTATAGAAAAGAATCAAACAAGAGCATTTAGTGACATATTCGATTCAGTTCAAGTTGATAATATCACCCACAATCTAGTCAAGACAGATGTGGCGATGTATTTTTATGGCGGCTTAATAGTTGCTGCTATAGTTATCACGTTAGCGCGTGCTCTTCTATTCTTTAAAATCGCCATGAGAGCTTCTAAAAGGTTGCACTCGAAGATGTTCCACGCTTTGTTAAAGGCTCCGATGAGATTTTTTGATACAAATCCCAGCGGGAGAGTTCTTAACAGATTCTCAAAGGACATGGGAGCAATCGATGAAATATTGCCGAGGGTTCTGTGGGATGCAGTTCAGGTAATACATATGTAGTAGATAAATAAGTAATACCATTAATGAAAAAGAAAATACACATTATCATACCTATACCTAATACAAGCTCTACAAGGTGGGCCATCAGTATCGCCTCGGTCGCTAGTGACCAAACGGCAAATGTTACAGAAACCTGTTTAGGTGGGTATGTGTAGGTTGATTACTAGTCCAGTTGGTAGAGGTTCGGCGTGTGTCAAACCTTGATAACTCGGAAATAACTACACAGGTCTACTTTAAATGATGAGTATAATAACAGGCTAATTTGCTGACAAAGTATTTTATCATGAAAATAAGTTATTAACAATTTAATCGTGAAAAATTTTTTTTTACTAGTTTCCTTTAAATAACTCAGCGGGATGATTTTGTACGAAAAAATGCTTAGGACATGATTTTGTTCGTAATAAAAATAGCTACAAAATGGCGGTGGTCCGATTACGAAATTTGCAATAACAAAGCCGTGAGATTGAAAAAACTGTTTAAAACGCCAATTTTTTTAAGTTGCTGTAAAAATGTCAATTACAAACAAAAAATGATAAAACTTTCGAAAAATATAGTTCAATATATATGCAATAATGACGCTAAAGCCGAAAATCAGGAGAGCAAAACTTTTTGTTCTGTAAGGTGTTATACATTCATCGGCATCTGAAACTCGAAACTTTGCCAAATTTGTTCGAAGCTTTGCTGACACTTGAAATTTGATACACACATAGTGTAAATATGCAGAAACTAAAAGCAATTTGCAAAATTCAAGTATCTTCATTTTTGCAGTTTTGGTAAGGTTTTATACGTCACCCTAGTTTTATACGTCACCGTTTTTTTAATTTTTGGACGTATATTCATGTATATTTATAATATATTCCATTACGGTAGATTAGCCAGCATAATTACCTACAATTTAAAATATATATATTTTCATCGTTTAGATCCTAAGCTACTTAACATTTTGCGTCTGTTAGCCGTAGTCGTACATTATTTAATATATTAACATAAAACAAAATCGTAAGTACGTGTGGGGTAAACCTTTAACTTTTCATTTTCGAGCGCGAGCTACGCTCTTCGGCGCTTGTATACTATTAGTAATATGCAACAGTAAATTTAAACAATTGTTTACGTAAAGTTAAAGGTTTACCCCACACGTACGATTTTGTTTTATGTTAATATGTTGAATAATGTACGACTACGGCTAACAGGCGCAAAATGTTAAGTAGCTTAGGATCTAAACTATGAAAATATATATTTTTTTAAATTGTAGGTAATTATGCTGGCTAATCTACCGTAATGGAATATTTTATAAATATACATAAATATACGTCCAAAAATTAAAAAAACGGTGACGTATAAAACTAGGGTGACGTATAAAACCTTACCAAAACTGCAAAAATGAAGATACTTGAATTTTGCAAATTGCTTTTGGTTTCTGCATATTTACACTATGTGTGTACCAAATTTCAAGTGTCAGCAAAGCTTCGAACAAATTTGGCAAAGTTTCGAGTTTCAGATGCCGATGAATGTATAACACCTTATAGAACAAAAAGTTTTGCTCTCCTGATTTTCGGCTTTAGCGTCATTATTGTATATATATTGAACTATAGTTTTCGAAAGTTTTATCACTTTTTGTTTATAATTGACATTTTTACAGCAACTTAAAAAAATTGGCGTTTTATACCGTTTTTTCAATCTCACGGCTTTGTTATTGCAAATTTCGTAATCGGACCACCGCCATTTTGTAGCTATTTTTATTACGAACAAAATCATGTCCTAAGCATTTTTTCGTACAAAGTCATCCCGCTGAGTTATTTAAAGAAAACTACTAAAAAAAATTTTTTTCACAATTAAATTGTTAATAACTTTTTTCCTGATAAAATACTTTGTCAGCAAATTAGCCTGTTATTATACTCATCATTTAAAGTAGACCTGTGTAGTTATTTCCGAGTTATCAAGAAAATGTCACCAACAGTAACTTTTCGGCTTACAGTTTGTGAGATATTTCAGTTTTAGTGAAAATGCAGACATAGCATACAAATTTAATATTAGCAATAAAAAAATAATTTTAAGGAAGCAGCTTTGGAGGGTGTATTTTAGATCATTGAAGTTATAAATTGTTATATTTGTCGTCACTTAGTATTATACAGGGTGTTCAAAAAACTGCTGAATACTTCTCTATTATCAATAACTTGGTTATTTTAAATGGGACACCCAGTATATTTTTACTTTAGGAGTTAGGAAATTTAAAACTCTTTTAAACTGTGTATAGGTTCCCTATACCTATCTCTAACGGAATTGGAGATATTTGTGCCGTTTCGTTTTTTATCGATTTTTTTTTTGTAAGATGTATCCACGTGTCTATCGAGGTCCTTATTGAATTGGTTTGAGTTCTTCTTGATGACGTCTCTTTAAATATATTTATAAAAAGTCTTGTACACAATGTTCCACCTACTACTTGCGATGATATTGGATTGAAGGATTAGAGATGTATTTGCGTGAGAATATCATTTGAAGATAGAATAAGATGCTGTATTCAAGAGAATGGGTATTAATTCGAACATCAATTAAAATTTTTCTTTGTTTCTTCTAAAAGTAAAACTTCTTTTTTTCATTATCATGACAATGTTCAAAAAAGTTTTCTAATAAAAAATATTATTTTATAAGCAGAATAATTATAAAAAGTTATTAATTTTGTATAAATATGTTTGTAGTAAGTAACTGAATTATTTATGAACTTATGAACATGAAAAATATTTATTAAAGAAAATTTTACTTTTAGAAGAAACAAAGAAAAATTTTAATAGATGTTTGAATTGATAACTATTCTCTTGAATACAGCATCTTATTCTATCTTCAAATGATATTCTCACATTCCTTAGAATATTTGGGGTGATTGTGGCAAATGCATCTCTAATCCTTCCCTTCATATCATCGCAAGTAGTAGGTGCAACACTGTGTACAAGATTTTTTATATAGCCCGAAACAAAGAAGTCCATTACGGGAGGTTTGGACACCTAGGTAGCCACTGACATGGACCATTCCTACCTATTCATTTATTACTATATTTTCGATTTATATAATTTCCCATTGAATATGAAAAATGTACAGGTGCGCCCTCTAATTGCATTTACATTTTTCTCCTTATATTTAAAGAGACGTCATCAAGAAGAACCCAAACTATATCAATAAAGACCTCGATAAAGACACGTAGATACATTCAAAATTCGATAAAAACCGAAACGGCACAAATATCTCCAATACCGTTAGAGATAGGTATAGGGAACCTATACACAGTTTTAAAGAGTTTTAAATTTCCGAACTCCCAAAATAAAAATATACTGGGTGTCCCATTTAAAATAACCAAGTTATTGATGTTTAAATTTGAGAGAAGTATTCAACAGTTTTTTGAACACCCTGTATAATACTAAGTGACGACAAATATAATAATTTATAACTTCAAGGATCTAAAATCCACCCTCCAAAGCTGCTTTCTTATAATTATTTTTTTATTGCAAATATTAAATTTCTACGCTAAGGCTGCATTTTCACTAAAATTGAAATATTTCACAAACTGTAAGTCCTAGGTATGCAGAACCTTTAATAAAGTTCACCTATTTTTTTACGGTGCTTTCAAAAATGCAGTAAAATACAGGGTGTTCCATTTAAAAAAACATAACTTTGATATGGTACGCTTTTCCTGGACACCCTGTATAT